AGAGGTAGTCGGCTGAGGGCTGGGTAAGGACAGGGAGGAGAGGTGATCATACAGATGGAGGAAGCAGCGACTTCCAAGGCTGGCCCTGAATCAAGAAGGAGCTGGCTGTGCTTGAAGAAACACAAGCAGTTCCAAGTGGCCGAGCTGACGGCGGGTTAGGGAATGAGGCTGCAGAGGCAGGCCGGGGCCAGAGCGCGGTGTGAGTGAGTGGGCGGCTAGCGGTGTCAGTTAAAACAGATGCTAAGCGTTTGGAACTTATCTTAATGGCAAGGGACAGCCGTGGAAAGGTTTTAAACAAAAGACCGACATGACACAATTTAAGCTTCAGCAGGCTGGCTGTGGAGTGGACAGTGGCTGATGGGCGCAAGCATGGAGGCGGGAAGACCAGAACAGGTAGCACGGAGAGAGGCGTGGACCGGACAGACCAGGCAAGGGAGAGGAAAGAGCTGACGAGGACTGTCAGGCCTCCTTCTGGGCTGATAGGGGTGCCACGGAGATCGGAAACAATGGCAGGAAGCAAGTCAGGAGCACAATGGAGATTATGGAGATTAAGGACCCGCACCAAGTTCAGCGGCATGCTGGCGCCTCCTCCAGCTGCCTCCCATGAGCCACCGTTAGCATCTCTGGCTGACTCCAGTCGGATCATCCAGGTGGGAACGTTTCAGCGAGGCACTGACTAGGGCTTCAAATCACGGCCTCCCACCCGCTCCGCACCAACCCCGTTATGAAAAATTTACTACCACCACTAAGACCGGCATATTCTTGATACCCCCAAATGGGTTAAAATGCATCCTGCTCCAGTCTTGAGCTTCTTATTAAGAGAGAAGAACAGCTGTTAAGGGAAAGACATTCAAGATAAATTAAAACTTGCTAGAGGTTTTTGCCTAGTAGCAAACGGGGTAATTGAAAAGGCGCAAGAAAAATGAAGACGATTGAAGAGAACAATTGTAGGCAACTGTGTCCAGTAATTTCAAACTAGAAGCAAATATTCCTCATTCGTCTCCTTGCAAGGATTTTTAGAACCCAGCTCCCTTAGTTAAGGGACACTGACCTCAAACAGACACCAGCATCCTTCTGATGCTTTGCCAATTACACACTCTCTCTCCCACTCAACAAGAGTGGGGAGGTAGGTGAAAGGAGCAGCCCACACACCGCAGTGGAGGCTCGAAATGCCTTGTGAGTGAGTGAGTGAGTGAGTGAGTGAGTGAGTGAGTGAATGAATGAGTGAATGAGTGAGTGAGTGAGTGAGGGAGGGAGTGAATGAATGAGTGAATGAGTGAGTGAGTGAATGAATGAGTGAATGAGTGAGTGAGGGAGGGAGGGAGGGAGTGAATGAATGAATGGGTAGGGTGGTGGGGAAGGGAAGAGGTATGAGATGAACTAGCACACCCTGGCTGCATAATATGGCTTGTCTTTCCTTGGGAGAAGCCATATTCCCTGGACTGGGGACAGGAAGAAGAAAGAAGGCAGGCATAGCATGGAGAGAAGCAAGGGTGGAGAACAGGGAGACTTCGGTTCAAAGAATCACAGTCATTCTGAGCTGGAAGAAACTATGAATTAGTCAACATACCCCCATTTCACAGGCGAAGGGGCGGGACACCAAGAGAGATGACGGAGAGGGTTGGTGAGTGATTCTCGCCGGGGGTGTGTGCACACACTCCCGAGTCTTTGTGAACCTTCTCCACGCCCGTGGGCAGTGGTTGCTAACCGCGCTTCACATGAGGGAACGGGCCTCGGGAGGCTCGATGACACTTGGCAAGTTTATGGCAGCAGAGGGACCAGAACACAGACGGTCTGACTCCTTGTTTGGCCCCCTTTCACAACGACACGGTTCCATCATTCACTCATTCGTTCATTTCTTCGTTCTGGAAATAGTCCTTGAGCATCTATTCTGCGAGGGACCTCTGAGAACGAGGCAGGCACAGGCCCCGCCCTCTGAGAGCTCAGTGTCTGTGAGAGAAGTCAGACTTTACGCAAATAATTAGACAAACATCCAACTGCAATTGTGCGATGTGCCAGAGAGAGAGGCATCGGAAGTCACTAAGAGCCCTCACTGACTTAGAGAGCCAGCGAGGGGTTAAGGCCGGCTCCCTGGGTTCTGAAAAATGGGTAGGAGTGAGCTCAGCCAGGGCGAGTGGGGCAGGTCCCACCCAGAGATGAGAGCTCTGGAAAAGGCCCCGAGGCAAGAGAACAATGCCGCAGAGGAGAGGTGTGAAGGGCAGGCTAGGCAGGGCCATCCTTGGAGGCTTTGCACAAACTAAATCCTGCCCTCTGTTTTGAGATAAGAAAGCCACCAAAGAGTTTTCAACAGGATGGTGACAAAATAACTCTTTATTTAAAAAAGGTATTTACGACAGAAATTATCAGAAATTATCCGTGGGCACATACACTCTTACACAGACAGGCACACAAACACTCTTACACAGACAGGCGACGACCGTCCGCAGGTTCTGCAGCCCTCTTCGGTGGCCTCGTCTTTTTTTTTGGTTTGGCTGCCTCGCCCTTTCCTCCGACCCCCACGACAATCTCCAGCTCTATAATCTACATTGAATAACTCAGAGTATATCCTTCGATACTTTCCTCTGCGCATATCATCAAGTAGAGACCAAGATATACAATGTATATAAATAAGAAATTTGCCATTGTTTGTCTAACAAAAATGGTCTTATTTGCACATCTCTGCACCGTGCCTTTGTCATCAATAATACCTCTAAAAGTGCCCTGAAATCAACCTGTGTGGCTCGACTTTTTTCTTTTTAATGGCTGGATATCATTCCAGGGTATGCGTGATCCATAATTAACTCGCACCCAAAACGCCCCTTCTGTCTCTAGCTCCTGCAACAACCGCCCCTGTGCACATGTCCGTGGGGGTTCATGGTCTTGCATCTGAGGGACAGTGTCTCAGGAGTGGGGCTGGGAGTCAGTGAACCATAGGTAAACCGGTTTTTGATTTTACTAGAAGCTGCCACCCTGCTTACAAAAAACTGAATTTTGCAATTTGCATTTCATCGGTGATGCCGAGTTGCCTTTTGTGGTACTCCCGCCGGCATTTGGTGATTTTGTTAACAGTCAGACATAAAGTCACACTTTGTTGTTATTTGAATTTGCATTTTCCTGACCTCTGGACATTTAAGTGTCTGTCTGTTGATTATTGGGATATCTTTTTCTGAGAACTGCCTTTTCATATCCTTTGTCATTTTTTTCTACGAGGTTGCTTGCCTTTTCCTCATCAAAGTTTAAGGGTTCCTTGTATTTTATAATTTTTTTTTTGTTATCTGTATTATAAAGTTCCCCCCAGGGGAATGGCAGTGTCATTCCCTAAGACAGGGACCAGGAGAGCCAGGCTTGGGCTGGAAGATCGTGCTCTCGGTTTCAGACACCGTGAGACGCCCACGCGGAGAGGTCCAGCAGGCTGCTGGGAGCCCAGGTCCGGGGCTCCCAGGAGAGGACACGGAGTTGGGACTCATCACATCTGTTGTGGCTCTATCGTTTCCTTCCTCCAGTAGTCTTTACTGTTGTCCTTCTAAGACTGACCCTAAGTAAGATGCTGATATAATTTCCAGGGAAAACTAAGAATAGGACAAAGGAGAGTGAGTTTTTTCTCAAAGGTCACACACCCTGAATGAACGAATGAACGAACGAACGAACGAACGAACGAACATATAAACAGCAGCAAAGTAATGAGCAGTGAGCAGTTGCCTGCTGATAACAGTGAGTGGTCGGAAAAGGGACCACGGGGATACTAACTTATCATCATGCCAGGGCCGGAGGGCGACTGCCCAGACTTTCCAGCTAGATAAGCCCAGGGTGAACTCTCAAAACTCTTCCATTCTTGGCTTCCTCGGCGAACAAATGGAAATCGTGATGCTTACGGCGAAAGTTTGTTTCGAGGGTTGATTAAGACTGAGTGTCTTTACAGAATGAGCGACATGAAGCAGGCTTCTAACAGGGTTTCCCCTCTTTATCCTTCAGTAAGTCTGTCTACCACTGAGGCATTCACTGTAGGTGGCCCTGGCGGAGTGAGAACTGGGTATGGAGTGAGTTTTTGCTGTTTAAAAGCAGAGAGAGATACAAGGAGGGGGGAAAATAAATGTATCAGCGGTTGCCTCAGCAGATATCCCGTGCCAGCCAGAATTTTTTTTTTTTTAACTATTGGAGGTCTACTTGTTTCGAAGAATTTTGAATGATCTTTTCTTCTTAAAGATATGAGGGTACCTAGGACCTATGTGTAGA